ACCCAATCATTGTCACAACTTCCCTGTCTCAAAAAGATAATTTCCACCCCAAAAATGAATCCCACTAATTACCCTAATTAACTAATTCCACTAATCACCCTAGTCAACTAATCCCATTAATTTAATTAACAACTAAACCCTAACCAATTAATCCCATTAATCACCCTAATTAATCCATTAATTACCCTCCAATTAATCCCACTAACCCATGAGTCCCTAATAACCAACCCCTAATAATCAACCTATCCCCTAATCCATTAATCACACCCAAACAGCTCAATCCCACTAATTACCCCTAAATCAACCATTAATTACCCCTAACCAATTAATCCCCACTATTATTACCCTAATTACTCAATCCCACTAATTACCCTAATTAATCAAGCCCATTATCCCCCAAAGGCCCTGAAAGGCTGCGTGGGCGAGGAGACCGTCAAGACATGATAACATGAAGCCATTGCACGCCACCCACGATGTTGGTAAATTGTTTAATTCTTGGTAATTTATTTAGTTGTTATTGTTGTTGTTTATTTATTTAGTTATTATTATTGTTATCTTTTTTTATTTTTTTTTTATTGATGTCTGTGTTGAGATATTTTGTTGATGTTCTTGGTCGTTGTTTATTTCCTTTTTATTTATGTTTGATTTATTTTTTTTTCTATTTGATCCACTCATAGGATCTGTATTTTTATTTTTTCTCTCTTTACAGGCTGATATTATATCCAACCTAATATATATCGATTCCACTCTATAGGGATCTGTATTTCTTTTATTTTTCTCTTTATAGGCTGATATTACCCGCGGGCCAAATATCATTCCCGTTCCTTTCCGACATGGAATGGGACACCCAAGCGGTCTTCATAGAATGGTAAGTTACGTAGATCATTTTCATGAGTTACTCCTTAAAATAAGATTTACGTTTTCTGTGATAAGCCTTTACTCGAAACATTTTATTATTTTCACGAGTTACTCCTTAAAATAAGATTTACGTTTTCTGTGATAAGCCCTTACTCGAAACATTTTATTATTTTCACGAGTTACTCCTTAAAATAGGTTTTACGTTTTCTGTGATAAGCCCTCACTCGAAACATTTTCTTTGACAGAGACGTTCCATCGGCGCCGAGAAGGTTGAGGAACTGAAGGAAGAAATGACGAAAAAGATCAGCAACATCACCTGTGCTCTCCGGAAACTCGACTACGTAAGTAATATCCGCACATGATTTTTTTCGGACCGAATTACAACAAAAATGATGAGGTTTTCCCCAAGCATTCGGCAGATGTGGTTGATTCTCAGTGAGATTTTACATTGTGTAATGGATAATGAGTAGATATTCAAATGAAAACAGGTCGAAATTACTAAAAAAACAACAACAAAAATAATAGTGATTATCACCTTTAATTGCAGATTACTGAAGACAAGAAACCAAACTACGAGAAGTTCAGACAGGAAGTTGACGCGATGACAGTCTCTGACACCCTCAAGACAGACTTCAAGATGGCCATTGACATGTGCCAGAAATTCAGCCAGTGCTTGCCCGTGGATAAGGTCAAGCACCCATTCATGGAAGAGATGGGAACCACCATGGGCTTCATGAAGTGCTGTGGCTTGAAGAGGGTAAATAAACCTTTTGCTTCCACCATACACACACACACACACACACACACACACACACACACACACACACACACACACACACACACACACACACACACACAAACACACAAACACACACACACAAACACACACACACACACACACACACACACACACACACACACACACACACACACACAAACACGAACACACACACACGCAAAATCCATGTTCCAGCAATGAATCACTTTATGAATCGTCTTTTTTTCCCTCTCTCCTTACACACCTTCTCCTCTTCCAGATGACAATGTGCATGAAGGAGGACTTCCGCAAATACGCATCCGAGAGCGGCTTCGAAGGAGACGTCAATGAACTCGTTGGCCTGATGATGACCAACGTGCCCGATGACCTCGAGGGCCTGTTCGAGAGTCTCAGCATGTAAGAGGGAAGCTGGTGGGGGTTCTGTCCCGTCGTCACGAGGGTCGGTTCGCCGGATGAGTGGATGTTGCCTGGAGGTTTTATCTCCACTCGTCTGGGTGTTCCCTTGTGGTGCCTCGGATAGGGAATCTTGACCTGGAATGGATTTGATTTTTGTATTATATACATTTTTTTCTTTTGTTCTTATGGGGAGTTCCCACTGATATTTCTTTTCAAATGTTTTTTTTTCAAGACATAAGTTCCCTCCTTCATACCCTCCCCCCCCACACACACACTTCAATGGTGAAAAAGACTATCTGGAAGTGAAGTTTAATCACAATAATTCGAGGGAAGTTTTCGTCAACCTGCAACACGCGGAGTCATGCAATTTTGCATTTTTCACGAGCATCAGAGAAGAATAGACGCTACTCTGACCTTTTTTTTGAGGGCATTTCTGTTATCATGAAGAAAATTAAAGTGCTAACGTCT